CAGTCATCCGTAATCTGGAAGGGGGCTTCGGACTTCCAAGGGCCTCCTCCCCCAAATGCCAAAGGCCCTACTAGGCAGGTCAGAACAGAGCTAGTTCTGCTTCACAGACCCACTGTGGGTGGTCCTAGAGTACAGAAGTTAAACACATGATTTTAGAACTAGTCAGAACTGGGTTTGAGCCCTGGCTTGGCCTCATAAAGGCTGTGCGACTTTGGGCAAATGACTAAACCTCTCTGAGCCTTTGTGTGCCCAGAGGAATAATGGTATTTGACTCAGAGTGCTGGGTAAAGGGCCAGGTACTTGAAAGGGCTTGATATATGGCAGGTGTTATTTTGAAGGCATAAGGGCAGTTTATCCTCCAAAGCCCAAAGAGGTGATACCCCGAAGAGCATCTCTTTGCACTGTGAAGATGCTGCCTTTAGTAATCATATTTTGGCAGTTATTATTATTATTAAATTTTAATTTAAAAGCGTATAGTAGAGACAGAGTCTCCTTATGGTGACCTTCAGGCTGGTCTTGAAATACTGGGCTCAAGGGATCCTTCTGCCTTGGCCTCCCAAAGTGCTCAGATTACGAGTTTCAGCCACCGTGCCTGGCCTTAGCAGCTATTTTTTATTGAGTACTTAATATGTGTCAGTCACTGTTCCAAGGGCTTCATGAGTTTTAACTCATTTAATGAGTTAATCCAGACAACTCAATAGATCAATGAGACAGGTACTCTTAGCACCTCTATATTACAGATGAGGTCACTGAGGCATACAGCACCTATGTAAGTCACCCAAAGTCCTACTGCTGCTACAATGCAGATCTAGGACTCAAACCCAGCTGCCTGGCTCACATCTGGCACCTTTAGCTGCCAGCCTACTACATCTGAGCCCTGCTCCAGCCCTGCTCCAGACCCGCCTGGTCCCCTCAACACTTGGGCACAGGGATCCACTCCATATCTGAAAGCACCCTGGCTTCGGAATCAGCCTCAGTTTCCTCATCTGAACAAAAGGGGGCCTGAAGGAGTCAACCTCTGTGGGCCATGACAGTGGGTAATTCACACTGTGCATTAAGGCATATTTCAAACTGGAGTAAAGGTTTCTGGTGGTGAAGTGTTGCTGCCTCTTTTGCAAGTGGGCAGGGGGCTGGCCGGGGCTCTCGCAACGTGCGGTGAAGCCCCGTGGGGCCTGTCTAGACAAGCTTTTAGCAGGCGGCAGCCACCTCGTGCTCTTTCCCCCAAATTCCTGCAACTCACCCTCCCAGGCGACCTCTGATTGGATCCTGGCCACTGCATACTGCTGAGCTAGGGGAGGACCACATAGGCAGTGCCCATTCCCATCCCAGGGCCTTTGTAAGTGTCCTGATTATGGTATTCTGCAACTTGTGCATGGAGGGCAAAGTTCTAGACACCTTCGTGCACAGGAGTATAGCAACCAATAGAAGACAAACCTATGTTTTTATTTCCATGTATTCCTTACATTTTTTACTATACAAATTTGATACATGCAAAATAAAGTGTGCAACCCACATGCTTCAAGAAATCTGATGACTTCAAGTGTGGTCAAGGGGAGGGGGACGCTCACATATTGCTGATGGGAGCATAACCTGGTTCAGCCACTTTGGAAAGCAGTCTTGTGCTCTCCTGTAAAGCTGACAGGCCTGCACCCCAGAACCCAGAACGCCTTCTAGGTGTCAGCTCCAGAGAGACTCTGGCTTATGGGTAGCAGGAGACATGGAGAAAAATGGTCATCACAACAATTCCAGACAAGCTTTGTCACGGTTCTTTGAAACACCCCACGGCGCTGAACCCCTGGGACAGTTTAGTTGGAAAATTGCAGGAAGTGGCCATGCCCAGGCACAGCTCAGCAACGAGGACCTCAGCACCTCCCTGAACCCCTCAGGCTCACCCAGGAATCAGACACAGCCACTTGAGTCAGTGATGATGTATGGTGTGAGGCCTGGATCTTTCTATTCCTCAACGATAGGTGTTGGCTGGGAATGGTAACTCATGTCTGTAATCCTAGCACTTTGAGAGGCTGAGGCTGGAGGATTGCTTGAGCCCAGGAGTTTGAGACCAGCCTGGACAACAGGGCGAAACCGCATCTCTATAAACAATATAAAAAATTAGCCAGGCAGGGTGGCACACACCTGTAATCCCAGTTATTTGGGAGGCTGAGGTGGAAGAATCACTTGAGCCTGGGAGGCGGAGTTTGCAGTGAGCTGAGAAGTGTCACTGCACTCTAGCCTGGGTAACAGAGTGAAACCTCATCTCAAAAAATAAAAAAAAAGGATAGGTGTCAGTGTCCCTTTCCCCCAGAACTGGCCAGGCTAGGAAGGGGCTGATTTTGCCCAAAGGGCTGTGGTGTGGCTCCGAGGGACCAGTGCAGGGCAGCAACAGGGTTGAAGGGAGAGGAATGGCCTCAGAACTCGAGGACGGGCTCAGGCTCCAGCAGGGCCTCCTTCCTGGCCTCCGTCTCCTCTGCGAGGTGGGATTCGTCATCACCGCCCTCATAGGTGTCAGGGTGGGCAGCCCAAGGGTGTGCGTTCTGCAGATGCGTAGACTGGGTTGAAATCCCCTTTGCCGCTTTTTAGTTGTGTGACATTGTGTGAGCTGCAGTGGTTTCCTTCTCTAGAAAGTGAGAGTGATGGAATGATGCTGATTCCTGCCTCACAGGAATTCCCAGGACGGTGAAATGATGATGCAAGCTGTCAGCACAGAATCGGACTCCTGGGAAGTTTACCACCCATGTTCTGCCCTGTTCCATGAGGTCCGTTGGAGGGTCCTCGGGAAGTTTTGAGGTAGCTAAAAGGTAGGGCAGGAGGTGGGAGACTTCTAGGGGAGCTAGCACCCCCAGGGGCAGGTGGTACACACAACTTAATAATTCATGAGCTGTGTGACCTCAGGTACCTCATCTGTGGAGTGAGGATAATAATTGCCCCTTCCTCACTGGCTCTTGTGAGGATTAAATGAATGAGTTCATGTGAAGATCTTAGGTGATGCCTGGACCTCATGAGAACTCCACAAATGATGTAACCTAATTCTCCTGATTTGTACCACCTGATGGAATCCCTGGCTGGGCAGAGAGGCAGGTTCTGTTCCAGCTCTGCCGTCAGCTCGCTAAATAACCTAACGCGGTGCTTTCTCTCTGTGGCTTCCATTGCCTCGGCTGTTTGTGAGAGTCCTAAGCTGCCCTATGGCCTGGCATTCCCCAAACTTCCATGTGCATGGGAATTCATGGGGATCTTGTAATGAAGATTCCTAGGCCCCACCCAGGGTCCCCTTTCAGCAGGTGAGTGCGTAGTGGTTCAGATACATTGCCCCCACAATGCCCCAGAAAGGCAGGAAAGGAGACCTCAGATAGTCCTTCAGGCATCTCAAGCAGGTCACTTTCCTGTGTCCTGCAGCCTCTGACTTCCAATTCCTCCTTTCTCTTTCCAGAGCCTGTTGTCTCTACAGCAACTCTGGGCTTTCCCTGGCTGGGTCTCATTCCCACTTCACCCCCAACATAGCTCAGGGCATCTTGCTCGCAGGAGGTGTGGTCTCTGACTTCTGTGTAACATCGACCCCATTCATCTTGTTTTATCTGCTTGCATCCCTCGTCCTCATGACAGCCCCACAAGCTCAGAACTGTGCCCCTTTTACAGAGGAGGAAGCTGAGGCTCAAATGGCAAGCAGCTTGCCCAGAGTTACTTGTCCAGTGAGTAAACAAGCCCAGAATTGGACCCAGGCAGTTGAATTCAGAGCCTCCTTCTGAACCATGATGGCCTTGGGCCTTGTGTGACAAGAAGCAGGAAGGTGAGGGCACCAGACAGAGGCTGGTGCTGGAGGACTGTGTTCTGTTCTGGGCTTCGGACGCGGCCAGAGTGTGTTTAGAGGAACCCAACTCCACGTTGCCTGTACGTCTTCAAGTTCTAATCCCAAGCCTCTGCCTCTACCCAGCCCTGCCTCCCATCACAAGCCTCCTACCTTCCTCTGAGCCCCTGCCCACCGCTTCATCCCCCTGAAGCTCTCTGCTGTCTTTTCCATCCCTTTCCTACTTCCATGTCCTGCACCTCTGTGTGGCTGAATCTAGAGATCAGCCCTCTCCCCACCAGAGGCTGGTTGCAGCCAAGCTCATCTGGAGGCCTCGGGGCACCGCCTGGCCAAGCCTGCAGCCACAGAACCTTCAGCTCTGGCTCAGCCCCCAAAAGCTCCCACAGGGCTTCATCTGCTTGGACTCCAAGCTTGTGGTCAAAGGGCAGACTCGGCTCAGGGACCTCCTGGGAGAACTTCCCAACACTGGCTGTCCCTCAGGCACAAACAACCCAGAAGCCACATCTGCAGAGGGACCATTTTGTCCAATGGCCTTGCTATACAGACAGGGAAACTGTGGCCCAGAGAGGGGAGGGGCCATCTCCAGGCCACAGAGCCAGGCGTTGAGAGCAGAGCTGGGGCCGGAGCCTAAGTGCATGGGTCTCCTCTCACCAGCACCCCTTCCCACTGCTCCACGTGCAGTCAGCGCCCCAGCCCTCCCAGGATCTCTGTCTGCCTGCCAGAGCCAGGGCTTACAGTGCCTTGTCCCCAGCTTTGTTTCTTGAAACTGTTATTTGAAAACCATTTTCCTAGCCAGGAGCCCCAAGCTCTTGGAACTGCAAAATCAAGGCGCCATACAATACAGAAGAAGCACTGCCCATGTAGAAGCCAGGGAGACTGCCCCAGACCCGGGCACGGTGGTGAAGCTTGGGCTGATAGGATGTTAACTCTGTCCGCTCTCTCTGCTCCTTCTTTCCCCCATTACCTACAGCAACTAGGAATCCTAGAAGCCACCAAGACCACAGAATTAGAGGCAATCAGCTAGATGGATGCTTAGAGATCAGCTCCTGTACAGATGGGGAAACTGAGACCCAGAGATTCTGTGTCCAGAAAGGCACAGAGCCACTTAGCAAGAGAGCAAGACCCCCAGATGTAGCATCCCCCTGGAGAAATGTCCCAGCAGCCCCCATCCACGGATCCCAGGCCTGTCGCTGGTGCTTACCTTTCCTGGGGTCTGGTCCAGGTGTGACTCCTTGGGGCCTGGAGATGGGAGCCAGCCTGTGTGGGGAGTGGTTGAGGGTGTCACTGCTTCTCAACTAATTTGACCCAGACTCTGGTGCCCCTCACTGCCACAGGGGCATTTTTAAGCAGCTGGCACTGAGCCCCCCTCCCCTTAGTCCCTTGCCTGCAGCTCCCTGGCCACAGAGGCCACTCTGCCTTTTACCTTATATGAGCTGGAGAGGCAAGCCCCGTGTTGGGGCGAGGCGGGTGCGGAGCCCTCCCAGGGCCCCCCATTGGCCCAGGCACCCCCCACGTGACTACCTCGCCTTGACCTGCCCCCGGTGCTGAATGTTGCTTTTACCCCCTAAGGAAGGAGTGGTTGACAATTTTCATATTTCTTCTAAATTTGGAGATTTCAGACAATGCTGGGAGGCTTGGCTCCAGCCGCCAGAGGCCCATGTGGAAGTCATTAAGCCCAAGAAGGGGGGCAGGGGGAGAGAGGGAGGCAGGAGAGGAGGAGGAGAAGGAGGAGGAGGAGGAGGAAGGGGGTGGGGAGCAGAGTTCTGAGGGCTGCCAGTTGTCAGCCTGGGAACAAGAGCAAACTCCCTGGGAGAAAGCTGTGTGAGAATTTCCTTCCTCTCCCCCAGCCCCTGCGTCCCATCCTGGGGCTGCAGTGGGAGTTTTGAGGCTTTCTGAGAATCTCCTGTGGAGGAGACACCAGCCATGGCTCCTGGAATCTGGGTGATGGGAATGGGAGGGGACAGGAGAACATGGGGAAGGAGACCTCGGACCCTGGGAAGCCACCCCCATCCTCACGCAGCAAATGAGGCCTGGGCCTGCCAGGGAAGATCCTGACCCAGCCACCTGGCAGGTTCGCCACAGGGCAGGGGCTTGAATTTGGAACGTCCTTAAGGGAGCTCTCTTTTCCCCACCATTGCCGTCCTGAGAAACGCCCGTCTCTTGCCATAGGCCCTCTTTCTCCGTTGGCTCTGCCGTCTTGGCCTCCTACAGATTCTTTCGTGTTTTTCATGCCTCAGGGCTTTTGCACTTGCATTTCTCGCTGCCAAAAATGCCTTCTTCCCAGAGCTTCTCGTGGCTGCTCCCTCCCCCACCCCTGCCCCCGGCTCAGAAGCCCCTCTGGAAGAGCCATTTCCCGGCCCCCTCGGTATTCCGTCGCACCCTCTGCTGGCTTCCCTCTCAGGACTCGCCACCCGTGTGCCTGTCTTCCACATCCACGGCTCTAGTTTCCTGCTGGCTAGCTCTCTCATGAGAGTGTGGCTTTGCCGGGCAGCCTCTGTGTCCCCAAGCTTCCTACAGTGTCTGTGAAAAAGGTCAGAAAAGACAAATGGAGTGATTACGTGAACCAGGCCTCAGCTGCCAGCCTAGGAGTGTTGTGCTGAGGCCCAGGGAGGGCTCCTCCCAGGGGCCAGCGGGGCCGCCACCAGTCCTGCCCGCTGTTGCTCACAGCTTCCCTTCTGCCACCAGGCCTGCTGGACCCCAGCTGTCTCTGTTCACAACCTCATTCACTGTTCCTCAGACCCCAGCCTGGGTGGGCCTGCCACCCCGTCTCCCCTCCTTCCAGGCCACAGGCTGTGGTCTGCCCATCACCAACCCGGGGCAGCACACGGGCTCATGACACCCTGAGTGGGGCCAGTTAATGGCCCGAGGGGGTGGGGTGCGGAATCAGACACTGCCCCTGACCTTCAGAGGCTCCCAGTTCAACGGGAGGATTAAAAATGCCACACCCTTACCCCTCCACCCTCACCCCTCCACCCTCCCTCACTCCTTCCGAGGAAACATTTCTTGGTGTTGAGAGGCCGGTGGGCTTCTTCCTGCCTTGCCAATTCCTGGCTGTGAGGTCTGGGCAGGTTATTTAACTGCTGCTCCCAGCCTCCCTTTCCTCCGTTCCTCCCTTTCCTGCTGGGTAAAATGGCAAGAATCACACCTGCCTTCAGCGTCGCCATGAGGGCTGGGCGAGAGGGCCTGTGCGGTGTTGGGGAAGGCATGAGCAGGACTGGAGTCAGGCTTGGGCTCAGCCCTGCCCCTCTGCTCCCCACCGTGGGGCTGGGGAAAGGCCTCTGCGAACTGACTTCCATGAAGATCACTGTCTCTTCTGTAGCATGGAGTGAAGAACGGCAGGGACAGTGGTTGTGAAGGTTTAGCCCCGAGCCTGCTTCGGAGTGAGTGCTTGATCCATGTAGGATGACTCACAGTTGTGGTGCAAGAGCCTGACATGGAGGTTTTGCTGATCATATCATCCTCTTCTTTTCCAAACCAAGAAGATGGATTCCACTCGCGTGCATGCCCTGGGGTGCAGGTCGGAGATGGTGGGACAGGGAAGGCTGTGACCCCACTCCCCACCCCTGCACAATGGCCCAGTCCAACACTCCAAAGCACCTCCAGCAGATTCCAGAGGGAAGATAAAGCCGGCCCAACAGAAACATTGCGTTTATGTAAAGTCCACTCTGAAGGTTGTGAAATGTAAGTTATGCTTCTGTCAGTGCTGCTACTGTATAAACAGTAGAGAGTTCGTCTTCAAGAACAAAGACAAAAACTAGCAGCTCGAGCTGTGGAGAGACCCCCACCATATCAGTGCCCGAGAACTCTGCACCTGGCCGAGGGCTTTGGGCTATACCCGTGAGTCCACAGGCAGAAAGCCCGTTGCGAGAGCATGAGACGAGGAACCGAAGCGGCCTGGAGACAGGTCCTTGAGCATCAGGAGGGAGCTGTTCTGGCACCAAACTACCTGCAAAGGGGAAGTAAATGGCAGCCGTTTGTGACTCAGTGTCCATAAATTTGTCTCAAATATTTGGAAGCAGTTTTTATTTCCTGCCCATACTATCTCTTGGGAGTCATGAACACTTTACATTATGAACCGCTCACTGTGTGAAGTGGCTTTTCTTTCCAGACAGGGAGAGTCAGCCTTGAAATCGCTCCATTCCCAGAGAAAACAGGTTTACAGACTGCGGCTCGGGATGTGTGAGTAAGGCTTCTTGGGAGGTGAAGGGCAATTCCTGTTAGGAGCTGGGTATGA